GTAGCTTTAATAGCTTTAGTTGCTTCTTTTACGGTTGATTGAACACGAAGCCGTTTATTGATTGGCTACCAACATCAACTATTGCATAAACAGTATTTTTATTTTTTTTGAAGGGTTTCTATGATGTATCAACATTGCAAAAATTATTTTTCATTTTATATTTGATAGTTAGATGGTGTATTACTTTTTATTTTAATCAATTTGAAAAGAAAGATGTTGGCTGTACATTTCGATTTAATGTTGTAGCAAATGAAAAATTGGGTTTGTCTGTTTCAACAGCAAATAGGATTGTTTCATTAATTAGTTACTTCTCTCGTTTATTCAATTGGATTCTATGGAATTATCCCACTATATTCACTGAATTTTGATATTGATGAAAAGTTTATTAACAAAACTGAATCTGAAATGACTAAAAAAGGTTTAATAACGTAACTGAATCTAAAGTTACTGAAAAAATTTTAATGACGTTTCTGAAGGCTTGTTTATAATAAAGTAGCAGTTTTTAGTGAGATTTTCAAATAATCAAGTTGATTGTTTGATGTATAAATAATAGGAAACTTGACCTAGGTTTAGACCGTCGTGAGGTTAGTTTTACCTCACTGATGGAGTGTTGTTGCAAAGTAATTCTAATAAGTATGATAGGAACAAGCAAGTTACCCTTTTGGTACAAGCAAGTTACCCCTTTGGTACAAGCAAGTTACCCTTTTAGTACAAGCAAGTTACCCTTTTGGTAGCTTTGTAAAAACTTTTCTGAGAATTTTAAATCCCAAAAAATCAAAAATGTAGTTCCAGTATACTTTTATCTCCGTAATGTAATGTAAATATTACTTTCAATGGATAATGCAATTGATACAATATTTTTTGTTTCATTAAATTAAATAAACAGTGATATTTAGATTATAGAAACAAGAATATACTGCAACACCACTTTTTTTAGAAAATTTAGTTATTGGTAGTGTTGTTTACCTAAGAATAATGTTTTTCTACTGTATTGAAATCTAAGTTATAAGTAAAAAATATTTTTGTATTTTGTATCACATTTTCGTCTCCTAAAAATCTACGATATTTTTCTACGATATTTTAGAACTTTCAGATAAAAGAAATAATAAAAAAAGGTAATGCAAAGTAGAAGAAAAAGATAAATAAAAAAAAAAAGCATGGCAATACAAGGAAAAAAAAAAGTGATACAGTTTTTTTTTGAAACATTAGCTTCGCATATATAGTTGATTTTGAACTTATAAAAATATTTTCTAAAGTGTTTGACCAATGAGTTCATTCTTTACTTTACCTTTGTGGAGTTAAAGTTAACATCAAACCTTTTTGAACATAGGCTGCTTTTTTATAAACTAAAATGAGTTGAATTCCTTCAATTTGAACTCATGTTGTTTAAAAACACATGTTAACTGAACAGGTTCTTAGGTCCCTAAAGATATATTCTTCATCAAGTAATTCTATCATTGTTTTCAAATTTTTAACTAATTTTAACTTTTGATATTCTACTATATTCTACTATATTATTATACTATATACTATACTATAGTATTGTACTACAGTAACAATAGTAAGTTGAAACTCCAAATTCAAATGCTTCGGTGTATTCGAGTGTCTTGCTTAGTGTTTTTTTTCGAGTGTTTTAAAGTAATTTAAGTTACAGACACAAGCAAAAATTCCAATTGATGGTTCAATTATTTGGTAACAACATTCCAATCGATAGACCTATTCTTTTGGTAACTACATTCCAATCAATAGTCTTATTCTTTCGGAGAAAACTCGTGAATCTGCAAAGAAATTCAATATAAAAAATTTTACTACATCAAACAAATGGTTGAGGTTGCGAGGAAAAATAAAGAATATTTTTTGTGTATTAATATTTATTTCAAGGTAAAAAAATAGATAATAGATTGCAGGATTTATTATCGTTTTTTAAATGTATTAATGCATTTCATGTTAAATCACTAACTATGTATTTACATACATATATATTCTGAAACAATTTGTAAGTTTTCAAGGGCTTTTAATAATATTACAAGTACTAATCCAAAATAAATACCTTCAACAAAACCCACAAATAACGCTATTATGTACGATAAGGAATTCAACTATAAAGAATCTGAAGAAGCTTTTTTCTCTTTAAAAAAAGAAAGCACCAGGATTTGATGAAATAACTAGTGATTTAGTTATCTTTAATAAAACTAGTCTAAGCAAACCTCTGATCCATATACTTAAACTCTCAATAACATCTGGGATTTACCCTGATGTCCTTAGATTAGAAAAAATAATCCCTATATTTAAATGTAATGAATGTTTGGACATAACCAACTTTTGACCTATATCAATACTTTTTGTATTTTCAAAACTCTTCGAACGTGTAATTTATAATAGATTCTATAATCAATTCACTAAAAACAAATTATTTTACCCAAACCAGTTTGGATTTCAAAAAAACCTTTCAACTGAGCATGCAATCATTGAATTAGTTTATCAAGGTACTGATGGCTTTAAACAAAAAAAATTTACTTTAGGAGTTTTTATTGACTTATCAAAAGCTTTTGATACAGTTGACCACTCCATCTTATTAGATAAACTAAAGCACTATGGTGTAATTAATAAAACTTACAATTGGATTAAAAGTTATTTTACCAATAGAAAACAGTATTGTGTAACATACAATCTGGAGTATTAAATGTTTTATGTGGAGTCCCCCAAGAATCTATCCTTGGTCCACTTCTGTTTTTAATTTACATAAATGATTTTTGAAATGCATCTTAAACTGAATTTAGTCATGTTTGCTGATGATACAAATCTTTTTCTTACTAACAGCGATATTAAGAAATTATATGCAGATATGAATATTGAGCTAAATAAAGTAAATAATTTGTTTAGGGCTAGCAAACTCTCACTTAACACAGAAAAAGCAAACTATATATTATTCCAGAAAAAAACACAAGAAGAAAACCTTCCTCTTAAGTTGCATGACCTTATATTAAATGATAACTTAATCAAAAAACAAGCCAATATTAGATTCTTAGGAATACTTGTTAATAAGAAGTTATACTGGCTTCCTCAGACAAGATATATTCAATCTAAAATAACTAATATAATTGGTATGATGTATCGAGTTCGCTGATATATCAATAAACAAAGTCTTAAACTAATTTACTATGGACTAATTCATTGCTTCATCAGCTACGCAAACATATCATGGGCAAGTATGCAACCATCAAAACTTAAAAAATTTTTTAGTCTAAAACATACGTGCAGAATCATTTACTATAAAAATAAGCGTGAACATGCTAAACCTTTAATGAAAGATATGAAAATGATGGATGCTTTTGAAATAAATATCTATCAGCATTTAATTTTTGTGTATCAATTCAATAATAGTATCTCTCCTGCAAACTTTATTAAAAAATTTGAAATAAACATAAATGAAAACTATTATCTAAGAGCAAATATAAGTAACAAATATAAACTGCCTCAAAATTTTAATAAATATATACTCAATATAACATTGCATATCGAGGACCAAATATATGGAATAGTTATCAAAAAGGATTTAAATGTATGGCAAAGTCATTAAGTTCATTTATGTTTCTAATAAAAAAATAAATTTTTAAAATTTGAGAATCTTTTGTGCTTAAAAGAATCACCAAGGAATTTTATTTATTGTATTATTTTTTTATCTTTATTTGATTTACTGAACAGCACAGCAGTTTAATGCCCATTAGGGTTTCTAATTTAATATCTATATTTTATAAAAAGTGTATATAGGGGCTCTATGAAAAGATTGCGATGACGTTTTGTCATCGTCATCTTCTTTGAGCCCCTGTACGTTTAACTCTTTATTTTATAAAGATGATTGTAAAAAAGAAAATTTTATATTTTATTCTTCATATACAAAAACGGTGCTTGTTGACAAAATTTTACTGTCTTCTTAGTTCTACGGACATATTTTTTCTTTCTTTTATATGTATTTGTTTGATTATTTATTGTTAAACAGCAAAATAAATGTAAAACCCTTCTCTAATTAAAATTTTTTCAGTAACTTTAGATTCAGTTACGTTATTAAACCTTTTTTAGTCATTTCAGATTCAGTTTTGTTAATAAACTTTTTATCAATATCAAAATTCAGTGAATATAATGCAATAATTCCATAGAATCCAATTGAATAAACGAGAGAAGTAACTAATTAATGAAACAATCCTGTTTGCTGTTAAAACAGACAAACCCAATTTTTCATTTGCAACAACATTAAATCGAAATGTACAGCCAACATCTTTCTTTTCAAATTAATTAAAACAAAAAGTAATACACCATCTAACTATCAAATAAAAAATGAAAAATAATTTTTGCAATGTTGATACATCATAGAAACCCTTCAAAAAAAAAAAAAAAAAAATATATATATATATATATATATATATATATATATATATATATATATATATATATATATATATATATATATATATATATATATATATATATATATATATATATATATATATATATATATATATTATTTCAATAAAGTTCAAATGTTAGATATCTTATAAAAAGATATCTAACTTTTGAAAGTCTTTAACAAACTCAATTAAAGGTTGGTTAGAAAGAAGTAATCCTTTTATTTTCGAAAACAGCAAAATAGCTTTTATATATGTAAATTCTTTGATAACTTTCAAATTTGAGTTTTTTTTATAAAAGTAATTTGTGCTCTATTACTAATATTATGTGTATTACTCAACATTGCAAAAAAAGCGGTTTTGAGCGCTTAAATTTATTTAAAAATTTGTCTGATAAAACCTAAACAAAATTACAAAACTGTAGTATAAACATATTTTTTTAGTTTGATATTTTGATTTATTACACGCAATAGTTAAATCTAGTAACGTCACAAACATCTATTTAAAGACATATTAATCATCAGCAAGATAAAAAAGTGTAGTGAATAAAAGAAACTTTAATATCAAAATTGAGATAAGGCAGATCTTACTCATAAAGACTTTGACTCACAAGATTTTAAGACTTTTATGTCTTTTTTGAAGCTTCTTTTCAAAAAAGTTTATTTGTTTAAAAGTTTCGCTTTTGACAAAAAAAATGGAAATTCAGTTATATTTTCCGGTTTGTTGATACGCCCGACTAGTTGGATTTGATCGAAGATGATCATTTAATATTTCATAATGAAAAACTCAATTCAAATTTAGTCATTCTTAGCAACTGGTTTACTGTTTTAAACGGCATACTTCTATCAAAGTTAGCGTTGTTTAGACAATTTTTTTGCTATTTTTTGACTTATTGAGTTTTTTTGACATTAGCTGACGATGCTCTGACATCGGATGCCAATTAGGGAGCTATTTGCAAACCTTTTTTTTTTTAATTTTGAATATTCTTTTATTTTGTTTTATATAAGAGATTATCAACAATAAAATTTATTCTTTTTTAATACGAACGGGGGTCATATTTTGACGAGTATCAATGGATAAATAAACTTAAAATATAATATCTGTTTTACATGTTAAACCACCCTTGTTTTTGGTAAAACTAAATCAATTAAGTTTTGTTTAAATTATAAAATCTCCTAAAATGAAAACTTTAAAAAGAAAATTTCACTATTTGTTTTGTTTTATAACATCAGTTATAACCTTTTTAGCAAATTTTTTACCTGTTTTAAACTTTTATTTTAATTTTTATATGATCTGAATTGAGTAACAGAAAATGTATATTTTTAAATATATATAATAAAAAATATATTTTTAAATATATATAATAAAAAATATATTTTCCCCGCAAAGATGATAAACATAATGAATGTGAAATTTTATAACCACTAGATTCCGTTATTAAATTTTTATCTCAACCCATTACGCAGTGATATTTTTGTTTTCAATGTTTGCATTAGATTAACTAGCGTTATACTCGTTACTTATTTTTATTCGTTTGGTAAAAATTGGTAAAAAAAAAAAACATTCTGAATATATTTTTAATAAACTCTCCTATGATTGAATTTAAAAAAATAGTTTATTATTTCACATGATAATAAGTAAAAAATTGCTACACCAATTTTAATCACACATTTTTAAAAAATGACCCATCAATAATAATTCATATTTCAAATACATGATCAATTATTTGCATTTTTTTATTTTAGCTGAAGGAAGATGCTGAATAAGTCTCAAAACATCACTTTTCAATCAAGCTCACCGTTCAGTAATTTTGAAAATAATGCTACGATAATGGTGTATTTTATTCTAATTGCTTTGGGTCTGGCAATTAACTTAGTTGTTATTATTATCTTTTATTTTAAAAATGAAAAAAAAACAAAGTTCTGCAGATTCCTTCTACACCTGTCGTTTATCAACATCGGTCAGTACATCGGAATTATACCATACTTGATTATTGATACACGTTGTATTCTTTCATCTTATAAATATTTGGAAAGTCTTATATGCAGTATAAGCGATGGACACAGTACAATGATGGTTTTTTCAATGGCATCATGCGTTTTATTATTTTTCATGTCTGTTTTAAGATGCGAAGTAATGATCAAACCGTTTCGAAAGCTTGTAAATAACAAAAACCTTTATAAAGTTTTTTTAGTTACGTGGCTTTTTGCTTGTATATCTTTTATTCCTTACATCCTATCATATAAACTTGATCGTGTGTCTGGAATTTGTTTTCGCAGCTGGATAATAAGTAATTCATTTGGAATAATTTATATGAGCATCATGTACATCTGTGGACTTGTATTACCAATTTTAGCAATGGTTTTTGCGTGTGTTACTAGTTACATTAAATTAAATTCAAAACATTTAAAGGAAAATTCGGTACAAAAAAAACGCAAAGGTGTTCTTATCAAGCTAACGTGTTTAATTATCATATTTACATTAACATGGTTTCCATACTCTGTTTACTGGGTGATGACGTATACCACCTATGTAGGAAATAATATCGATAAGCAACTTAAAAGATTAAAATTACTTAGATACGTTTTAATGCCTAGTTTAGCGGGAGGCATTGCTGGGCCATTTTTTAATATATATCATTGGGAACCTTTTAGAAAATCGGTTCAACATTTATACAATAACTGTAGACATGCACACGAAGAGATCCAGCCAATTAGATTTTATCTTTCTACCAAAATTATTTTTCAGATTGAAAGTGAAACCAAGTAAATGTTTATGTGTAACGATAAATGATTAGTTGTTGAAACGAACAAGAGTTTTTTAATGACTTGATATCAACTTTCAATACTCCAACTTAATCCTGACAATGCTAAATATCTTTTAAAACGATTACAAATTTTAAATTAAATTCTTTATTTAGGTAAGTCTTATTAAAAAGATAATGATAGGTTACATTAGCTTAGCACATAGTTCTGTTTAGTTGAAATTAAACTTGTGAAACATATAATATATTTGCTTTGCAAACCGCCTACAAAAATTACACTATGTAATACAAAAAAGTATTTTAATCTATAGCGTTATCGGGTTACAACGCGTGTTTAACTAAAAACAAACCGACACTAATCAAATGATGAGCAAAAATGTTTCCAGTCTTAATACACAAACAAACTGCTTAAATTAAGTGGTTAGTGATTTTAAGTGAAGAACGACATTCTAAACTACACGAAAATGTTAATAAGGTTAAGACACAAACAACATTAAAAACAGTGGCGGAACTACCATACCTCAAAACCCCCCAATGTGGGGTGGCCATGAGCTGTAAGTGGTCCAAAATTTTTCAAGAAACTGCAGTGTTTAATAATTATTATCAATTTTAAAATTTCTATCAGATATGAAAAGTAACGTCCGATCAAATATCAAAATAAATAAAATACAAAACAACTCCCTAAATGTATTCTACATAAAGAAATAGTGTTCAATTATATTATGTTTGTGGGTCTGTAGCAGGTCTAAAATTATATTTTATTTGAATATTTTTTAAATCCAGTATTTTTTTATTATAAAGAACACAATTAGAGGGTGCCACCAGACATTTTCAAAAAAAGTTGTTTTCATATAAGACTTCTTTGCTGTGTATTTATTGCTTTTTGATTTTTTTTAAGTCTTTTGAAGTCATTTTCTTTTTCTTTTTAAGTCATTTTCTTTTTCTGTGTTCTTTTCTTTTTTTTAAATTTATCTACGATTTTTTTTTTTACCTTTTAAAATTTTTTATTAAAACCGCATTTTTTCCTTTTCTTTAAAATTTTTCGTTAAACAAATGCGTCCGCCATTCTGGAAGCCGCTCCAAAGTTTTAAAAAGTAAAGCAAAATTTACTGTGCCTTTGTATGTATTAATTTCTAAACGTTTTAAAAAGGGAAACATGGACAAAATGTTTTGCAGGAACAGTGGTGCTGCGAAAAAAAAAGTTAAAGCGATAAGAAGAGCGTGCTGCTATAATTCCCAAACTAACAAATTTTCTAACCAATTGGATAGAAATCGGACCGTGAGGATCTTTTAAACGAGATCCATCACAAAATAATTGTAAGTTTTTATTAGAATTTTATAAAGCTTCTAAAATGTATCAAACGGTTGAGAGGTTGTGGCTATGTTATTCTACTAAAATATATGTGTTATACTGCTAACCTTGTTGGTCATTTTCAAAACTCCATGATAACTGGCAAACACGGGGTATAAGAAACTGACAAGGCCTTTCATAAGAATTAAAAGGACACAGCATCATAGATAATTGATGTATATAGAGCTATTATTTAAAGAAAAAAATGGTAGTATTTTTAATTTTTAGTATTTTATAACTAAAAATTCAATAATCGGAAAGTAAACACAGTTAAGATAAAACCTTTTTGTGTTAATAAGATAGTATTATAGAAAATAAAGAAAATACGGCAGCAATGGAACTTTCTAACGAAACTAGAAAAAAAGTATTGGAAGAAATGTACTCAGTATACAAAAAAGAAACGGAGTTAATGTTTAAAGAACAAGAAAAAAAATTGATAAGCATAATAAGTGCAAATACCAAAATGGCTAACGATCGAATGGCTAAAGTTGAAAAGGATACTCACAAAAACGCAAAAGTATTCAATTCGCTTGAAAATAAACTAGCAAGTATCGTAGAAAGTTTAAATTTCCACCAAGAACTTTTTAATAGAAAAATAAAGACTTTATCAGATTCTCACAAGAAAGATAATGTTTTAAACAAAGGAGCGATAAAAACTTATTACGATAATGTCAAGGTAATGAACAATAGAAATATAGAATCTGTACGTATATTAAACACTCGGATAGACGAGCTTAACAAAAATCTAAAGAGTGCACCATTATCCAACAAATAGGAATTATTTGCAACCATACTTAAGGGTAAATCAGCTGGGGAAGTCCAACATCGGCATCGACTAATCAACATCGTCACGGCTGAAACTGAAAATCGACAAAACCGGGCATCTAATGTCATAATCGTAGGGCTACCCAAATCAGATAATTACGACAATATAATAGTTGCAAACATGTTTTTTAATGCATGTGGAGTTGACAGTGCCAAAATAGGCTACATCAGCAGAATAAAATCTAGCAAGATAAACAACACAATCCATAACTTTAACATAATCAAGGTCTCTTTAATAAATGAACAATCTCAATCAGAAGTGCTTCAGAAATGTAGTCACTATAATATTGCTGAATTCAAAGGAATTTTCTGTCATGAAGATTGAACTCGTTTACAACAGGAGGCATTCAATTAGCTACGAAGTAAAATGAAAAAACTTAACGACGAACTATATGCTGCGGATGTACTTGACAAACCATTTCGGAATGCTATCCACAAGCGTACCGGAGAAATTTGCTGCATTGATGTTCAAAAGTCAAATGAACTACATAAATATGCCTTTGCCTCTCTAGCAAGCACCCTTGCACCGCCTACGTATTCTCACAACTGTGCAAACTGCAACCACATAGTATAAGCCCAATCCCTCAAACCAAAGCAAAACGTAAACATTTGCCAAATAACTCATTACCAGACCTGCAGTCACAGGCTACTTCACCACATTTAAAGTTACTTTCGATAAACTTCTTCCGCTTCTGGGCAAATAACCCATGCTCATTAAACAGCGAAAAACTCCATGAACTTGTAGCAAGACTTACTTCTATTGACAAATCTGAATGGCCACACGTAATATTCTTTTCTGAAACTTGGTTCAGTACTACGTCAGACACTACCATTGCTGGCTATCAGCTGCATAACACAGACCGTTTTGGTAGAGGGGGAGGTGTTGTAATCTACATCATAGATGGCCTTGCTAACAGCAAGGTTACTGACGTCACACTTACCTCGACATCCGTAGAACAAATTTGGCATATAATACATTTTTAAAACAAATCAATACTTCTTGGTTGTATGTATTGCCAAATAGATAAAAACGATGACACGCTCACTCATATTCTTGCCTCTATTAAAGCAGCGCAACAGATATTGCCAAATTAAAGTGTTCAACAATGCTTTTGTATGGTGATTTTAATTTTAGTCACACCAGTTATAAATCATGCAATGTTGGTGGTGGTGTAGAAACAACCGCTCATGTTACTGAACAACGCCCCGGTGATATCAAATTCCAAGAGTGTCTTAAAGACTGGTATTTAACTCAACTAGTAACATTCACAACATACTGCAATAACATGCTAGCAACTCCATGTAGCACGCTTGACCTCATCATCACCAATAATCCTGATTGCCTTATCTCAATAAACGAAGAAAATTTACTTGGACATACACCAATGGGAAAAGCTCACTGTCTTTTAGTCGGTCTTTTTGCAGTATACTTCAACAAGAACAAACTAACATCTCCTTGTCGCAGACGGCTTATCTGAAGTAAAGCAAATTTGGATGCAATTTCATTACATATAACTTCTAAAGAAATACCAACCAATCTCTCTGCAAACGATCTGTACAGTTGGTTTATTGACGTATACAACGAAGCTGTAAAATTGCACATTCCATCAACAACGACTCCATTTAAAATTAAGCAAGATTTTTGGGTCACACTAAAAGTATTGGAAGCAGTAAAATTAAAACGTTCAACTTGGGCAAAATACGTTGCTGCTGGTAAAGATTCTCATGCAAAATTAGGTAATGAACATCAGGCTGCATGCAAACACATTAAAAAAAGTGGTAAATGCGGCTGTCCAGCATTAGGAACAACAACTAGTAAGCAGTTTCAAGGAATTCCCAAAATGTTTGTACTCACACGTAAAAAACAAGCTTAAAGTACATAATCACATTAGTATGCATGAAACTAGCAATGATAAGATCACCGAAGACTCTAGGTTTATAACTTCAACGATAAACAATTATTTTCATTCAGTTTTTGTCGAAGAACCCCAAACACCTTTATCAATATTTGAAGAGAGAACAAAATCAACTTTCGAAATTGACGAAAGTTTGTTTACAGCTGCTACAAAACTACTTATTCTGTTTTGACGACACTAAATCAATGGGACTTGACGAAGTACATCCTCGTGTTCTAAAAAACTGCGCAAAAGCTTTTGCAATACCTCGTTCACTCATTTTCAAGTAATCTTTTCAAACTGGAAATGTCCCATATCTTTGGCGTAAATCAAATGTTACTACAATCTTCAAAAAAGGAAACAAACTCAAAGCTTGTAATTATAGGTCGGTATCTCCTACCTCTGTACCGTACAAGGTAATGGAGAGAATTATAAAAGAGAGGATTATGAAACACTGTACACTACACAATCTAATTTCAAAATCTCAGCATGGATTTGTAAATCACAGAGGCTGTCTTACAAATTTAATCGAATCCCGTGACATTCTCACGGAGGCAGCTTACCGTGGACATATTGTTGACATAATATTTACAGACTTTGCCAAAATTTTTGATACGGTACCACACAATTAACTCCTTCGCAAGATTCAGGCCTACGGCATTAGAGGCCAGCTATTCCACTGGATCTCTGCTTGGCTAAGTGAAAGAAAACAACGTGTAGTTATTGAGGAATAAACTTTCCAGTGGAAAAGAATTACAAGTGGAGTCCCTCAAGGATCAGTACTTGGACCACTGCTATTTGTGCTTTTTGTCAATGACTATCCAGATGGCATTGGCAATTATACCAAGTTATTCGCCGATGATAGCAAGATCATAGGAATTATAAATAATAATCAATCACTCTCTGATTATGAAACACTGCAAACGGACATTGACAACGCTGTAAGTTGGTCACATAAATGGCTTATGCACTTCAACATCGAGAAGTGCAAAGTAATGCACGTTGGTTGCCGCAAAAATAAATCAACACATACCTATACCATGGCAGACATCAACGGTAACCGGCATAACATATATTCAACGTGCATTGAGTGCGACCTTGGGGTACTAATATCCGACAACCTCAAAGTGAAAGCACAAGTAGAAGCAGCAGCTTCGGCCGGAAATCAAATGCTTGGTCGCTTCAAACTCTAGATGCGGTCGAACGTATGTCGAACGTATGGCGAACGTATGGCGTAGCCATCGAAATGTCTTTTTGAGTAAGTTGATAAGAAATTGTACCAGCTATACGTTCGACCGCATCTAGAGTTTTGTGTACAAGCCTGATCTCCACATCTTAAATCGGAAATCGTCCTTCTCGAATGTGTGCAAAAACGTGCAACAAAAGTTATATCGTCGATTAAACATTTTAATTACGAAAAACAAGCCTGGTCTCCACATCTTAAATCGGAAATCGTCCTTCTCGAATGTGTGCAAAAACGTGCAACAAAAGTTATATCGTCGATTAAACATTTTAATTACGAAAAACGACTCCAACTACTAGATCTAACCACGCTGGAAAAACGCAGAATTCGCAGTGACCTTATACTGCAATACAAAATTGC